CCCCACCACGACATCTCCTAAATGTTTAAGAAAATAAAGATTTATTTATTTGACAAGTTGTGCTTAGGTATAATAATCATCGTTGTCAAAAATAAAAATATATTCATGTCGAAATCATCTACATGTATATCAATTGTTATTAGACCAAAGCATATACCAATCTTACAAAGTTGGATTTCATCCATGATCACTACTAGCATATGATAAAAAGGACATTCTTAAGAAACACCATTTTAACAGAAAAATTTAGTAAGGTGTACAAAAATTTTACTTATAACAATCTTGTTTATAGATGTTAGAAAGAAAAAAAACAATCTTGTTTATTCAAATGAATTGCTATGAAGAATCATTTTTTCTTTTCTTAAAAAGTGTTCTTGATTTGGTACCATTAAACAGTTGGTGGGTCATAATCAGGAATAAATTAAAATAATGGGTGGGGGCCCAAATAATGAGAAAGTAAAAGTGGGCTTCATGACTAAAGAAATAAAGGCCCCTTAAAAGCTGTTTCTTCCTTCATCATTTGTCTAACATGCCTCTTTTTACTCTCAATTTCATTAGTCCCATTTGCACTTTAGTTAAGATTACATCATAATTAGACTAAACCCCACTATTAACTAGTTTACTACAATTTTGACTTAATATTTATTTGAACATTATCTTGAATGCCAACAACTTTGTAGTGAACTCACTAGTGACAAATGTGACATCAAATAAAAAAAAACACAGTTTATGCATGCATGAAATTGTTAGAGAAAATTAGATGTCTTTATCAATATATATTACTTTTATATAAAAAAAAATGATGAGACTGTCTTCCACTATTGGACATACTCATGATTTCACCACCACCAAAGAGACAAACGCTTTGGCCTTCACATTCTATCTTCACCTTTATTTATTGTTGCTTAATTTACACACTGTTCTCCTAATTTCACTACTTTTGTTAACACTAATCAATTTCTTTATGTTGACCAACAAAAGATTAAAAACATTCCCCTGATAATCTTCTATATTACACTAACCAAATCAATTGTCCCACACATTTTAATTTGTATTTTTCTTGCTTAATTACTATTAATTTAATTGTTGGTCCATAAGATAAAAGATCGAAATATGTAATCTAGTTGTTTGTACTAATGTTGATGTATCGGATTTGAAGGGTCCAAAATGGTTGCTATTTTGGAGGAATACAAATCGTGTTACTCTATATTCTTCCAAAAAAAAATAACCATTGTTGTACAGTAGTAGATGATGAGCAAAAGATAAAAACGTCGAAACGTACCGTTGTCGGAGAATTTGAAACTATCACGCGCCGTCGCCGGAGAAACCTCAAGTTTCTTGTGAAGAAGGTAAGTGGTTTTGATGACATCAATGGTTCTCCGGAGCTCCTCTAAGTCCCGATCACATTTCTCTAATGCTCCGACTAGACTCACCCTCGCCGCTTCTCCCTCTCCTTCATTGCTCGGAAGCGGCGGTGGTGCGACGGTTCCTCCGCCGTCTCCGTTTGATGAATCTGCCGGAGGAGAAGCGTAGACGACGGTTCTATCTTCTCGCTTCTTGGATCCCGAAGTAATGGATTTGCGGCGGTTGGATGAGAAGTTGAAGGTGGAGAGGAAGAGGTTGAAGAATCCGGGAAGGCAACCGGAAGATACGGCGGAGGAGTTTGAGTTTCTCCGGTGAGGATTATGGTTTTCCCGCCATGAAGATGAAGGAGAAAGCAAGTTCTCTCGTTTACAACTCTTCTTCATCTTTCTTTGTTTTTGTGACCTCTTTTTTTTTGTTTTTTTGTTCTCTCTATCTAAAACCTTAAAATTCCCATTTAGTCAATATTGTGTTTTTGTTATTCGTTTCAACGGTAAAA